TTATTTATTTATCTATATTATATATACCTTATATTATATATATATATATTATTTATTTTAAGTACGTGAGTAAGTAGGTACGTACGTACTTATGTACGTACGTCCTCACCACCGGGGGTATGTATTTACGTTGGTACTAAGGTACGTTCGTACGTTGGTGTAAGTATGTTGCATTATAGCTGTGTGGCAAGGAAGGTAGCCAGGGTACAGGTAAACAGTGACAAGTAGGTGTAGGTAGGTAGGTAGGTAGGTAGGTAGGTAGGTAGGCAGGAAGGTAGGTAGGTAGGCAGGAAGGAAGGCAGGTAGGCAGGCAGGCAGGCAGGTAGGTAGCCAACCAAAATATCGGGGGAGGAAGGGGGCATGTCCGTACGCGAGTACATTAGTACGTTTGTACGTTCGTTCGTTAAACGTAATACATTTTTACGTTAGTTTGTTGCAGCTTATTTAGGTAGGTACGTGCGCACTTATGTACGTACGTCCCCACCACCAAGAAAAAAATCGAGGGAGTAGGCATGCATGGTTATGTATGCACATCTATTATTAATGCGTCAGTCCGCTAGTTTTGTTGCAGTATCAGTATAGGAGTGTGGCAAGGTAGGTGCCATGGTATAGGGACACGGATAAGAAAACAGGTAGGTACGGTAGGTACGTACGTACTTTGTAGAAGAACTGTGTGGCAAGGTATGGTACCATATGCTGAAGGAGCCCTGAGCCCTGGCATCCTGCCTGCGACGAGGTGGCGAAAGCTCGAGTCAGAAGCACCTCCAGGTCTGCCTGCAGGAAGCTCATGTTGGTTGATCATCACACTGGTGCAACCGTGCGCCACTTCCAGGCCTCGTTCGATGCAAAGCCACTTCCTAGACCACCCAAAGCAAACGCAGCTCGAACAAGCACCTGAAGCGGCCATGTTGTAAAGGTGCAACGGCTGGCGACAGTCTAGGCCCCACACCGGAAATCCAATCTCACGGGCGACCTTGCTCTGATGCAAAGTTCCCAGGCTCGACAGAGGCTGCAGCATGACTGTTCGACAGTCTCAACCGGGTTGGCAGAACCGGCCACCGATGCGATGCTCGCGTGTCTTGCACAAACATCCAAAATTTATTGCTCGTTGCTGCTACTAATAGTTGACATGTCCCCATCGTCGTGATTTGAAAGACACTTGCCACGCTTGGGGACTTCATGTGCAGTGCATTTCGAGGACAAGGGTGTCATCCTCTCCTCGATGCTCAGAACCCCCTATACCAATCCCAATATGCGTTGCGCTGCAACAAGCACGAGGCCCGTGCTTTTCGTGCCTCCTCGAAGGTATTCGCGCATGCAGACTGCGCGCACTTCTCGCCCAAACTCTCGACGCCTTCCTGAGAAAGTCTTCGGCTGAGCAAGAAATCAAAGAAACTTCACATCGACATCCTGCCTGCCTTGAAGATCTCGCGATCCTCTGTTGCAACAATGGAATCGATTTGCGTGCCCAGAACCTCTGCACGATGGCCGCACAACGCGATTCGCCAGGTCATGTCTACTCTCACTCCTAGCAACATGCGAGCACCTTGACGCCATACTTCTTGAGAGTGCCATCTCGGTGAAGTGCAACTGCGCAGTTCAGCGCCGTCTGCCCACCTTGTGGCAAAGCCGGGGAAGCTCACTGTTGCTCTGCCTGCAACGATAATGAGGCCGTCTCCGAAATTTGATAGGGTCCCAGCCGAACGCGGCAAACAACCCATCCGGTCTCACCTTGTCAATTACCTGCTTGAAAGTGAGGGAGAGGGAGGGAGAGGGACAGAGGGGGAGGGGAAGAGGGGAGGGAGGAGCAGGGGGAGAGGGAGCGGGTGGTGTACAATTCGGACAAGCGGAAAGCAACCGGCCTTCGTTACGAACTCCGGTGTAACCGGAACGAAGTATATCTGGTCAGCCAAACCCCGGGATGTTTGGACGGTCGCAATGTTGGGGTTGATCCTGCAATCGACGCGACTGCTAACTTGCGGGATCTCCGCAAACGCTGCCATAGCAGAGGCGAATCATGTCGGGGGTGCAACACCGACTGCACATGCTGCTCGCGCAATGCCTTGGCAAGGAAAGCATGGAGCACAGGGTGTGTAAAGAGAGAGAGCATTCCAAATGTGAAGTCGGGCCTTGATAGCCTGGCTCCCGGAGTAATCGAATTCACCAGCTTGCCCGATCGTCAAACCGCCGGAACCCAGCACCAAGACCTCACCAGCTTTTCGGGCTCGCGAATTCGTCAGCACAAGAGCTGCTGCGTGTGCACGGTCTCGCCTTTGAAATCGCCTGCGGGTGCTTGTAACTGATGGTTGTCAAACTCCTTCCTCCCGAGTTCCTCGACACTGCGAAGCCATGAAGCAAAGGCAAACCCCGTCCCTTCCCGGATGCGCCTCAGAATCTTGAAAAAATCATCGAAAAGAAAGGCAGTGTCCACAGGACCACAGCAGGCCTCCATCAACAGCCCGCAACCCACGATTATGGGGACAGCTGCCCACCTCGGGGTGGAACTGCACTGAAAACCATGGCTTCTCCTGCGGAAAGCAATACCAGAAACTCCACGACAGGATTGTGTGATCTGTCCTTATGGCCAATGCCCTCATTTGAGCCATCGTTTGCATTGGTGAAAAGGGTGCGCCATCCATCCGGTAGCTTCGAGTCGTCCACAGCAAAGCCGTGATTCTGAGAGGTGATGTAGCAGCGCCCCGTTCGCAGGTCTACGCAAGGCTGGTTCCTCGGCTAGCCGGCGGGGTGCACAGCGAGCACACCATCTGCATAGGTTTCATGTGCCTTACCGAGCTCCCACTGTAAGCTCCTGGCACACCTCGGTTGCCAAACTTCATCTTGTAGGTTTTGCAGCCCGCTGCAAGGGAAAGCAGCTGATGCCCCAAGCAGATGCCGAAGATGGGCAAGTGCGGTCGTTCTTGCATAACTTTCCGCAGGCAATTCACGGTTGCTTCACACCTGAGTGCAACGACCTCCTGCTTTGTGACCCTGGCGGTTCTTGAGCTCTGCGCTTCTCCGGATCGCCAGGACCATTGCTGATGAAGAGGCCGTCGAACTCCTCCAAACGCATCAGTCCAAGAAGGATCGGCTCGTGCTCATCAAATTACTCTACTGATCTGACCACCTTCGGCCTTCTACTGACTATGCAGTGTAACGCAACATGCGTCTGTCGGCAAGCCAGCCTCCTTTGAGAAGTCATAGTCCCACGGCACAACCTTCAGGCGGACTCGAAGGTAGTGGATGAAGTACCGCACGATGTTGAGCCTCGATACTTGCTTCCTCTGCAGCACTCCCAAACACAAGACACTACTGAAACGACTCAAGCACATCATCCAGCAAAAAACTTTTAGGGAGGGTGCTTCATGCCACAGTCAACAGCCACCACCAGCGGAGGCTCACCTAACAGTCCAAAGGCACTGCACACGAGATCACGGGGCTGGCCACGGGCCACGGGTGTCGGGGAGGCACCCTCATCTGCTTCATCACGGGCGGGCTGATACAGTGTGGGGCTGGACCTGGGCATCCAGCAATTCCAGGACTGGCACAGCACATCAAGTCGCACTGACGGCCCAGCACAGACACTTGGGCCACCAAGTTCTTCAAGTTTGGATCCTACCGCTGACTGAGACATCTGGCTTGTCACTTGAAAACTGGAATCACATGCGAGCATATGAACCTATTTCCAGATGAAAAAGCCTCCCACTGCGGTGCCGCATCACTCCCGACGACCACAGCACCAAGAGCTGATCCTTGGGCGCATGGGCCACAGACGGAAACGTTGCTGCCTGTGGTGGCCTTCTTGTCGGAGACGTTTTGTGATGGCGCGAGTGTCCACACCAGAAATCCCAGGCACGTTGTGCCTAAGTCTGCTATGCGTACCGTGAGCACGTGTTTCTCAGGGGCATTACTGAGGCCCCTGCTGTTCAAGCCACTGAGACAAGCTCTTTACGGCGGAATAGTGGGATGCCGCGAAAGAGTACTCCGACACTACGACTGCCACGGGATAGATCCGCGATCCCTCGAAATACCTGCGACAAGGAAAATCCGAAGCGCGCAAGCAGTGATCCTCACTACAGCGCGGACCTTGGTATCCCCTGTTCGTCCTTGTCGTCGGCTGGCACGCCATAATTTCCCACGATTGGATAGGTCAGCACAAGGATTTGGCCTTCAAGGGGATTATTCAATAGTTCAGACGGCTCAGACGGCTCAGTCTCGGGAGGTTTTAAGCGAGAGTTGCGTTTTGGCCTTCGAAGGATGGGTCCGTCAAGGATTCGGGATATCCCATCATCGCCGTGCAGAACACGACCTCTCCAGCAATTGACCTTCAAGCAGCAACTAACACGAGCTGCAATCCCTCCGAGGGTGCTAGACTCTTCTGGGACCCCTGGGACCTCTTCGCTCCGAAGTTGAAGCCGCGCCAGCGCTCACCTGCAAGTGCAAGCCTAAAGGGTCCCAAAATACCTGAGCACCTGGATTTCAACCTCCCATAGGGCGGCGTGTGGCCTGATTTCAGTCTCAGTTCGGCAGGCGTTTTCATGGCCTCCTCCCAGGAATTGAACCTCGCATAAGGCTGAATCTGCCAACTGTCTACCGTAGTGACATTGAACTAGTTTCGGCACGTGGCTCATCTATGTCTCCTGCCAAGACCTTCCCATCGTTGTCAGGCCCTCAGCAGCACTTGATCCAATGCTGATGTTGGAGATCGTACCACGGAGCTCCGCAGGTCAAGCACCGGGCGTGGAGGCGGAGCAAAAGGAGGTTCTGGCCGTGACGGCTTCATTCGCCTTGGAGGGAAGCCACTGTCACGCCTGTCTGCGGTGTCTGCGGTGCTCTGCTACCGAGATGCGATGCAGCAGGTCAGCAAATGCTTCCTGTAATAAAGATTTGTAGAGCCAAATGCTGCAGCCAGTCCAAGCTCTGCATGCAAGAACTACTTCTGCCAAGATTTGCGCAGTGCTCCAGAAACAAATTTGTTTTAAAAGCTGTGTCAGCATCGCTTGCTTCTGACACTTAATTGCTTTCGTCCGCCGACTGCCGCGCTGCAACTAGAGGACCGGCAAGTGGCGGTTGCCTAGGCTACCAGTGATCAAAGGCTTCTGCAGCACCTGAAACACCTTTCTCATCACCGTCACCTCGAGCCTCGATTCGATTTGGGTGCTATCGCATGCCTTCTTCACCGCACTCCAAGTCAGGCCGAACAGGTCCCTTGCATTCAAGCTGCGCAGCATCGTTCTTCACTTTACATCGAAGCCCTCTGCGCGCAAGCATTGCTTGTGCGCTTCGATGAAAGCCTTGCACTTTTCTTCGCCGTTCATGGTAATGCACTCGTCTCGGGCGGCCTGGCATTCATGGCATGCAGAAAACATCCAATGCGAACCTCATACACCAACCTCACGATTGAGTGCTGCTTTGAGACCAAGCCCCCAATGTGACAACAGGAATTCTCTATTTCGGAGTCCTTCGTCTCGGGGCACGCGCAGCACATTTTCATTGTCGGCTTTTTGGCTGGCGGAGCCTCTGCGATTTGGCAGTCTGAGACGAGTGGGAAGCACGACTGTCACAATCTGACATGAGGACATCCAGAAGCCTCCTGCGCTTTGGAACCGGAAGACCCCATGGTTGCTTCTGAACAGAGGCCCTCGAAGGGGAAAATTGACCTACAGAACCATCCCACTGCACTTGAACCAAAAGAATATCCACGGAAGAGCTGCAAGTGTCCACGCGATCTGTAGTTGCAGTGGCTGCGGGTGACGCGACAGTGTTGGAACTCCTGTTTTCAATGCCGCAATCCTGGCTTTGCCACAGCACGGCAGTATATAGCCTCTAGACCTACCTACTGTCCCGGTGTAAGAAATAAAATCGAGGGGTCGGGCTTCTTTAACAGACACCTGCGCGACGGCCAGGAACTGTTCCGTGCTCAATAGCCGCTGCCTTCTGGCAGCCGTGCACGCCGTGTCCTGTGAGCGAAAGCCTGCGAGCAGAATCCTGTTTGCATCTTGCAAACATCGTCTGGCATTCGCACTTGGCGATTCCACTCAGTTGCCACCAAGTCGCTGACCTGGGGTGCGGACAGCTGTTGCGCACTTTCATGCTGCGACCGACTCTATGCAGGATATAAGGCCAAGTCCCCCCCCTCCGAAGTTGGTGGGCTGTGGCCGAGCAGTGGCTGCAGGCCGGTTGGCGGCGACTCCTTACAGCAGCATCGAAAGACAGGCAAAGATGAAGCTGCGCTGCCAAGATGTTATGGCCTGGAGCAGCATATCTTGCCATGAAGTTGGACAAGAACGCTGGAGTCTTGACCAGGACATATCCGTACTCTTGTGGCACGACCTCCAGATCCGAGAATCAGCATGTTGTTGTTCTGGGCAGTCCCAGCTCTTCAAGTCAAAGAGATCGGGCAAGCACGACTGTTTTCACACCGTGGTTGCAGCGGCACGGGCGGGGCTCAAGCGCATCAGAAATCGCAAATCCACTGTCTGGCCTCTGCTAGGAAGTAGTAAATGTGGCCAGAAGCCAGCCCCAACAGGTCCATCCAAATGTTTCCACCTGGCCCGACTCAACTTGTGCAAAAGCCCTTGTCATGCGAGAAACGAGTGCATGGCAAAGCGCTTCACATCAAAAGCCACTGCTAAAGGTTAGAATCGCCACTTGCTTGTTCGGTTGACTTAAACTTAAACTGGATGCTTCGACAACTTGCGTCCTCCGATCGGACCTGCACTTATGGCATCCTCGGCTTTGTTTTTGACATGAACCGTGGCCAGCCTATCAGCAGCTGGAAGAAGATCAGCGCGAACGGGAATTGGTAGCCCTGTACCGACGCACGTTTGCCGATCTTGCAGCTCATGCTTCCAGGTTACAGGTCCTGGATGGTGAAGCTGAAGAAGCTAAGTCTGGCGTAGGGTTCGCGACCTCTCATGATCAACGGAAGCAAAGAGTTCAAGCGAGAATCTTAGTTTCAATGTCGCTGGGTGCCCTGCGGCTCCAGTAGTACAAGATTGCAAAAACCAAAGGAGGACCCAAAGTTGGGAAACCGCTCGGCCACATCAGCGCCAAGGATATGACGTCGAGGAGCTGGAATGTCACAGCAACCGCTGTTTGGCCATAAATCTTACATGATCTCAGCAGTTGCTACTTGCCACTCACAACCATGCCGGTGGGGCCAGGATCTGTGCAAGCAGAAAGAAGAGGTAGTCCCCGGGCTGAGAAAAAACCTGACAGCCCACGAGGTAATCAAAAGTCTAGAAGACGTTACGTCTGTTGTGCGGATGTGTGGAATCGCGACTCTCTGCAGGCCTCGTTCTGCTCCAACTTGGATGAAAAAGACGTGAAGAAGTACCTTCGAACAGCGAGCTGGTGAGGGACTTGAAGGAAGCAGCAGAAGCCGGCGTAGGCGCACATCTGCAACAAGAACTGGAAACTGAAAGTGCCGAAAAAAAGGGCTGGTGTCAACAGCCGCCAAACCTGAGGAACTGGAAATTTGTGATCGTCAGATGCAGATCACTTGCTCTCACAATGGGCCTGCAGCTTGTTTATGATCATGGGCCAGTTGAGGAACAACAGTCCCGGGTTCAAGAACTCCAGCTGCACGAGGACGGTGACGCCAAAGATGACGGTAAGCTGGCCCAAACTTGCTCAACACACACTGCACAAGTGCGACTGCTGTCTGCGTCAAGGCTCCCACCAAAACACGCGTCAGAATGGGTAAGTTCTTATACCTTCAAGTTCCGACAGGAATCATGTATGCGAAACATGCGCACAAAAAATGACTTTACCTAAAGAACGACACTGACATCTTCGACCGGAGTGCCACTGTTCCGGTGTATTCTCCATGCTCGAACGCCAGCCTCCACGCACAACATGCATGACGGTAACATGCCCTCGTACATGACACATCAAAACAAAAAGTTAAAGCTGTAGATGCCATCAAAACCCCGCCTTCCTCACTGCCGACACAGCTTCGCCGCCGCAATCTATATCAAATCTTATGGGTCTTTTATCCTGCTGAGCCGAAATATGGCACTACCTAGCCTAAACTCTGACAAACCACCTCTGCTCCGTTGTTTAGCTAACCGGATAAAAAGCATTTAGTATTCTGAACTGCGCATTATTTGTCCGTCCCGCCCCCCCCCCCCCNNCCCCCCCCCCCCCCCCAAGTCGCCAACCACGCCCTCAAATGCTCGTTGGCACTGGCAAGTGTTTTAGCCGATCCATCACATGTCTGCGCATCTCGCAGAGTTGGTAAATCAAGGTCGCCGAGTGATCTGAAGCTGCGAAGCAACGAGCTAGATATTCAGCTGCGGTTGTTTGCAGCAAGTTTGAAACCAGTGCTGCATCTCCTCCAGGCTTTCTTTCGAGAAGTGCAATAGCTGAGCGCCAGATCGTTGCAAGTTGAAGCGTTCGCAAAGTCGATGAGGTGCACTGCTGATTCATCAAACCAGCCGCAAAGCACAAGGAATGGAATTCCAGTGCAGCCTGCCAGCAAGCCCTTCTAGAGTAAATTTCTGGATCGCGTGTGCATTAAATTCTATTTCTACACTTGCGGACAAAACAAGGCCATGGCTCCTGCCAATTCGGACTGCAGCATCCAAGCACGGTGCTCGCGATGGCTGCAGACAAGCCAGACACCTGCCTCTTGACAAGCACCGTTGCATCTCTCAGCCCAGTTTGCCATTGAAGGCCGGCTGCCAGGGAAGCCACGGCCGTGCTTTGCAGCACCACGTCATCCTCGACACGACTGCTTTGTACTTCATCAAAAATCGAAGAAGCTTGGCGCCAACTTGTTCCGGTGGTGACACTGGAGATCAGGGAGCTGCATATCTTCGCCTTGGGACCAAGACTCTAAGAATTGCCCTGGACACATGCGCACACCAGTTCCTTAATGCAAGCTTGCAAAGGAATTTAGGTTTGTGAACGTCACCGGCCAAGATGTTTTCTGGCGGGCAGAAAGCCCCATTAACGCTTTTGAAACATCTGCATCGCTATCCTCTCACTAGAATTATAAAAGTCTCCGGATGTCGAGCTGGGCTAGCTGTGGTTCTCGAATGCATGCAGGGTACGTCTGCCCGACACGCTCTCAAAACAGTCAACGACAGGAACCACGGAAGAGCACCCAGGCTGTCCCCTTCGGCACTCGCACCGGTTAGCGCATTGAAGGTAACATACGTCGGCTGCAAACAGGAACAGCCGATCGCAAACAGCATGTCTACAGCCTTCTCCCAAGCACCAGAGCAGCTGTTGCTCGAAATAGCAGCTGTCCAACCAAAGATGTCAACATGGCGAAGAAGCAAACTCATGCAGAGTTTCCAGGCAGAGGCGACAGAGCAGGAAGCGATGGCGCAATTTGTGATGGTAGTCTGCCAACCTTGGATATAATACTGACCACTCGCTCCGCTCGTTTCAGTTGTCACGATCGCGTTCACTGAGCTTGGTGCGTACTCCTTCTTGTCCAACCAACTCAAGCCACTGCAAAGCCTGCTTGAAGCAGACGCTATATACATGAATCTGATCGTTGGTGCGCTTAACCTAAGTCGTCAACTGCGGACACTGGTTTCGAATGCTCCGGCATGACATCCCTGCGCTGGTGTTATCAGCCCGGGGTCCTTCTGCCACAGAGGTGCCGCAGAAGCACTGAGGACAGCAACGAAACTGGTGTCCAGGAGCTGCAGTCCACTGCCACGGATCTGCACGGACCCACGGACCCCGGACTCAAACCACTTCTTCCAGTTCACATGACCGGTCTCATGAACTGTCCTCCTGCCACACCGACATGCTGCGCTGCCAGAGTGTCATCCGGCTGCAGGTGGCAATGGCCGAGTTGGAGGCAATGACCTGAGCACTTTCTGTTCAGGACCTGCGTGATGTCAAGGAGTCGGAAAAATGACAGTTCAGACTTGTGACTATGCAGCGGACACGATCCGAAGAAATGTCTCTGGAGACAGGTGCAGAGTCTTCTGCGCATGATCCCTAGAAGCACAAATTGCGACAGCGAACCACTTTGATTTGAAGTTTGACTGAATTGTTTATGGTCCTAAGTCCATGCCGTGCCATCGTTGGTTGGACATCATGCACTCGCGAAGCACCAAGAAGCCGAACGTCTGCTGTGTAGAAACTTCCACATCCACTCCGCCACGCAAAATGCCGCCAGGCCCGGCAGGACAACAACGGACTTGCGGCACTGTCAAATCTCAGCCGCCGGCATTGCTTTGTAGGCTGTAGTGCTTGGCGTTGCCCAAAACGCCCAGCGCATGATCCCAAACAAAACCCTTTCCACAAGAATCAACAACGGAACTGTAGAAGATGTCATCGAAAGCTTCTGGAAGGAGGCAGCGTGTGTGATGCAATACTTTCACAGCCATGGCCTCGGCGAGCGCAAGTCTTTCCGGGCTGAGCAGTAAGCATACGGCTGAGACCTGGGCCCAGTGACCGCCACGCGCGCAAGCTTTGACTCCCAAACTGCAGGCTGCGGCATCGCGCTCGAGACCTTGCTGTTTCAGGATGTCCCCAAGGAGCCATGAGGCCGACTGCCACTTGCCGGCACGGATGTTCCGTGCGGCTGACCGGCTAACAGCAATCAAGCCCTGACATCTTTGACGCATCTGAGCCCTTCATGCCACTGCATGAACAACACCGGAACACCTCCAAACGGTGTCCACGTCAGAGGATTGCAAGGGATTTGGCAGAGCTGTACCGCACTTACAAGTAGAGAGGCAGCCTCTTGCACGCACTGACACCACCGAGTGTAACTTTGCTACCCCTCTATTCAGGGCAGCACCTGCTACTGTAGTTGGCGACGGACCTACGATCCAGTGACACGTCCTGCCACGTCTCATAGAGAGATGAGGCTCAGATCCTGGCGAGCAGAAATTGAAAATCCGGCACCTAGACATCAGAGTACGAACGACAAGTCGGAGATATTTGCTGTGATCTGGCATGACCTGGTGGTTTGCAGCCTCTGGCCAGTGCTGCTTTCTTCGAAAAGCCGGCCACAAGTTGCAAAATGACTATTCAGGGTTTCAGGGTGTGCCGCTTCCTGGTCCTGTCGTTGGACATCGGAGAGCAAGCCGTGGGCGTTCTAGCGTAAGAGGCTCAGTGCTCACTGTTACAAAAACAAGATCAACAGGAGTACGTGGAGGATGTTTCACCCAAGCCCAATCCTGTACTTGGGTCTCCCATCGGCCCCTGCCAATTTCTCCTTGTGCCCGAGGCTCATATGCCTGGCACATGCCTTCAGCCTTGAGGTTTGTTCTTCGAGTCCTGGAATTTCGGACGACATCAGCGCGCGGAGTTGCAAAGACGCGGCCAACGATTCTGGCGAACCGTCTGCCTGGTGGACTCGTCGGTTCGGCACCTCGGACCCTGGAGATGGGAGGCTCGCAACAGTATGTAGTCGCGGCCATAGGCAATAGCAATAGAGAGAGAGAGAGAGAGAGAGAGAGAGAGAGAGAGCGAGAGTAAGCCTTACATTTGCCACGGGCATTTTGCTGATAACTCAAGCACACCCACCCCGCTGCCTTGAATTCATCATCGTGCTCGGGCTCAGGTTCCGTGACTGTCAATGGCAGTGCTTGTGAATTCTGCCCCTTAGCGACCAATCAGTGAATAGCCATCCGTTTTACAACAGCTGAGGATGTGCCTGATGTCTGGGGGCAGGGCTCTCGTCAGTAGCGTGAGGTGCGCTGCCTGACAAGCTCAAAAAGACGTCCCGCGTCTGCTTGTGTCCTTACAGCGATGCTAGCAGAGCACGGCCTGGCCTTTGCAGCGCCGTCGAGAGCGTAAAAGGCTGAAGTTGGTTTCGCCTCTTGAGCGCCAAGAATAGCCTTGAAGAACTGCACGCGCTGGCGAGATTCTTGTGGAAATTTCTTGAACTTGAGCTGAACCTTCTTGTCCGGCAGTTGGGGCACCTCCTTCGACATGAATTTCCAGACGAAAGAGAGCAACTGCGCCTCGTCATCTCTAAACTCTTGTAGAAGGACCCGGCACCAGACTGGTAACGTCACTTTCTGTGGGATCCCGTCGCGAAGCTGTACCTCCACGAAAGTGCCGACGAATTGATGAGCCATTTCGTTCAGCTGAGAGTCCATGCTTGCAGCATCGAAGATCGGAACGGCAGACAAAGAGCTTAAGGTACCTCTGTTGAGGGTCAGAACCACCCGAAGGTCCTGCTTCGGGGGAAGCCAAAGCTCTGGCGGGCTTCCGATGTAAAGGCAAGCTTGCGTTTTGTCGTAGGTCCAAGGCCCTTTGGGAAGCGGCATCTTGGGCAAACACATTGGGGCATCAGGCAACCGCTGCTGGCCATGCTGACTAGCAGGAGAGCTTGGATCCGGCGGGGTCGCCCCCTTGCGGCAGAGACCGCAGAATCCCAGGAGCTGCCTGGCCCGTACCCGAGCCTGGCGAGCCGCTTGTGGATCAGTCTTGGGCACACGGAGCATAGCACTGTCGATCTCACGGAGGCTCATTGGCCTCGACCCGATCAAGTAACTCACTCTGTTTCGGAAGTTGTTCAACTCCGACTTTGACTGCGGAGCCCCGAATATGAGGAGGCCGTGCAAGAGGATGCAGTGGTACGTGTTGACCCAAAATGTCAACATTTCGGCCTCCGTCCAATTTTGAAAGCTGACTGCCTGCAGGGGACGGGGCGGGGCTTCAGGTTTAGGTCCACCCCGCCAGTATGCCAAGCTTGAGGCTGAACTAGATGATCTCTGTGCCCGTCTGTTAGTAGGTTCGTTTCCGACCGTGCCTTGAACAAACAGGTTGCATCCAGAAAAGCCGTGACGTCAGCCGCTGCTGGCGCTGCTCCCAAACTGAGCGCCTTCTCCAACAGGCACGCAGCGAAATCAGGTGCTAAGCGTTTCTCTGGTAAACTTGCGAGGATACGATCGTTCAGCACCAAGCGCCGTCTGTGTCCCCAGCGTCGGCTTCTGGTGGAATCCATGAGCAACATGGCCTCCTTGCTCGGAACTCTCTGTCCGCCTGTAATCGCACGCAGGCCGTTTCTTGCTCCACCGGCGACTCTGCCAGCGGCTTTCTTTGCGATGGAAAAGCCAAATACATCCACTGGATTTGAACGTCCACTTTTCCATGTCGCAGGCGTCTTGGGTGACGGCGGTTCTTGCGACGGCGGTTCTCGGGGAGAGCCGATTTCAGGAGACAGTTTCGAGTCCTTCTGGTACGCACCGTCAGCGTGGTGGGCATCTCCACCAACCTGTGCCACCATGCGGCTCAGGTTTGAAATCCACTGTTCCCTTTCAGCCGAGTCCGCGCAGCAGAAGACAAACACGCGAAGGAACGTGTGGACCTGGGAGCATTGCTGGCTGGCACTGTTTCGCCTATGAGCCTTTCAAGCTGCCACTCCCCCCTTCCTCTCACAAAGTCCTCTCAGTTCGGCCTTATGAACTTGAAATCATAGCCCGGCCTGCCAAAGCATAAATCTGCCCAGAGTGGGTCCGGGCAAGGCTTCGATCTGAAGGATCTCGCCGGCATGCACGCTTATTCGCGGTTTTTCGCAATCATAAGGCGTGAAGCAGCGCAGGAAACCGTCTGAGGATAGCCGAAGAAGTTCTTCACAAATACGACCCTCGAAATGCACTGATCCGACCAAGGCCTCACAGGATTTTAGGACAGTGGAGTCGACAGCTGGCCATGTTTTCCTAACCGCCTCATACGAAGTTAAATGAGACTCCTCGGTCCTCCCGGATGACGCTTGCTCGTCCTTGACGGGCATGAGCGAAAGCCAGGCCACAAATGATGCTGTCTGCTGCGACGAAAAAGCGTGGTGGCATCAGTTGCACCCGCCGACGTTGTCCCAGCGTTCTGCGTCTGACCTGTGTTTTGTGTGCGGTACCAGCAGTACGATGTCAGTCCTGAGGCCCTGAAGGATTTAAATGAATCTCTCCCGAAGACCTAGTTGAAATTATGACCAAGCACCTTGCGAGCAAGTCGAGCAGGGCTGCTCAAATGACCTGAATCAGGCCGTGGACTGCCCTCCACGGATGCATCCGTCTGGTCGGGAGTCATCGACCCTGTGACTGCTGCTCGAACCACGACACTCCTGCTCATGCAACTTGCAAAAAAACCAAGAACACAAGCAGACGCACAGAAAAAAGAAGCAGCAAGGGCGTCACTCCTCAGCTTGGACTCACTCTCCAAGTCCAGGTGGGAGGACACGACGGTTCGGAATTGCTCCAGCGTCTTCACGGCACAGCAGGTGTACCTGCACAAGTGGACAAGTTCTGCAGGCGGCATATCACTGCAAACTGACCAACTAAAACTGTTCAGTCATGCAGGCCTTCTCGCTCCAGGACCGCGGCGGAAGGTTCGGAGCCGCCGCTTCGGGCGGCACAGCGAAGCCAGCTCTTGAGAATCTTTCGCTGTCCAAAATGTCCCGCCAGGATCGGTGAGTGAAAAAATGTACCAGTAGCGGACCTGCTTCTACGAACGCTTGGCAAGCAAGAGTTTATTGTTTAAAAACCGCTCCAATGTCCGGTTCAACAGCATAATCAATCGGAGTTGATGGTCAGAACATGCAGTGTTGGCAAATCTGTGCAACAGTAGAAGTCGGCGTTCCTGCGGGCTCAACCCACAGAAAGCCCTACTACCAGATGTATGCATCTGCGCCTTGGGGGAAAGCTGGCGGTTCAATCATGTTCTACCGCAAGCATGATCATGGAAGCAAACACAAGCCGCATCGGCCTTGCGGCGTCGGAACCGATCAATTGCTTCGATGTAGAAGGGAACTTGCACTTGAAGTTTATCCGGCAAGATTTCGTCAACATTTCTAGGCCGCCAACTTTCGATTTGAAGAAGCGCCTGAGAATGGCTTTTGCTTAACTCACGGATCTCCTCCTCATCCTGATCATACATGGCCTCGTCATCATCAAGAGAGTCTTGCGTCGTCTCTGAATCGCTTTGATCGTCTGCTGTGACTAGCTGAACATCAGAACCCGCAGCAGACACTTCTTCTGAAGCATCAGATGCAACCTCCAAAACGGTCTTGGGAGACTCGTCGTCCATTCCTGCAGGAGCATCCATAGACGGCCGGCGTTCAACTTGCCATTCGTCTCCTTGTGACCCTCTGGCAAAGAAAATCTGCAGAATCAAGCTGTCTCTCCAGCTACCATGTTCTCCGCCGCATCGACCGAGATCGTAGATGAAGGCACATCCTGACTTGATCTCACCCAAAACACTTTCCAAGGGGAGCGGACTGATTGCTGGCACCTTCAGCAATTCCCAGGTACAAAGATCTAGGTAGGCCACCCTCCAAATAAAGGTGTAAGTACTCGTTGTATCCACTTCCAGCAAGCCGGGACCGGCCCATGCAACGTTTTCAACTTCCTCGCTGCCCAGTGGAGGCGGTTCCTCCCCGTCGGGTGTTCTCACGAAACACATGAGAGCTCGTATGTGGAATCCCATTTGACACGGTGACGTTTTGCTGCCCAGATCAATAACGAAGCGGCCTCCAGTTTTCTTTTTCGCAAATTTCGCCCCAACTGACACCACATTCGACATGATCCAACCTAGATTGAGCTCTCCATCCAGTGTACCACCTGCCCAAATGTTCGTAGAGTTCTCCTGGCCCATCGTGGCATTGTGCTTGAAC